AGTCAGCATCAAAGCCACCCATTTGTTTCCCCTGTTTTCCCCAAGGGTTTCCTCTTTCATTCTTTCAACCTGCATTACGGAACACCTCCTAGAGTGTAAGCAAAATAGTCCCAGACCCAGGCTTCGAGAAACAACTGGTGGTGAGAGATACTTGAAATTAAAAATCTCATACAAACAGAAGCCCATTTAGCTAGGAACCAGTCTGCACTGGGCAGAGCACCACAGGGTGATCTGTGAGGGCTGATCAGGGACAGGTCCAGCGAGGACATGAGGGAGAAGCCAAGACCTAGGGGACTAGGTGACTAGGGGGTTAGGGGAGAGAGGAGACCGGCCGAGGGAGCAGCCTACGGAAGGACCCTGAGAAGGGCTTGTCTAGCATAGGAGAGGGACTGAAAGACAGCAGTGAGCTAAGGGGAGGAGTGAGTGAGGGCATAGGAGGGCTCCAGCCCCCAAACAAAGACCACCTTGGAGTCTCAGGGTGAACGAGCCGTCTGTGTCCTATCATGAACACCTCTGTAGCCTCTCCAAGGTCTTCACTTTTGCCACCAGAAAACTACCTTCCTTCCAGCCACTAGTTTCTCAAAACTTCCTTGTACTTGGCTCCCAAATAATCCTGAAGCTCAGGAGAAAAGTCCATACAAGCACTTTTTCAGGAAAGAAACAGCATCTATTGAACACCTGGTTTGGAACAAGGAATGCTCTGAGCCTTTTGCCCATCTTACCTCATTTACTGCCTGAGAATCTATGCAATAAGTAGTAGTATTTCTCCTTTTGAGAAATAATAGAGACCCAGAGAGCATAAGCAATTTGCCCAAAGTCACACAGCCTATCAGACAGTAGAGTCAGGTCTCTGAGGCCAAGGGTGAACAGTTACTCCAAATTGCTCAGGCCATGGGGCAGTCCTGGTGTTTCACATGGGCTTGTTAGAATCTCAGGAAACCACTTGGCTGTGCAGTGTGATACTTTCAGGCAGCAGCAAGCTGAAAATTACAGAAACCTCTTTTCAACCAAGTGTAGAGTTCATTAAGCTGCAGGGAGCTCTTAATATCTTCAGCATTTCCCGGCAGCTCTCTGCTCCATGAATAAAGGAAAGAACTAATACCCATCCCTAAAAAGGTGAATGAAAGCTTTTGCTAACTAAAATACTGCAGATGAGCGTCTCCCCCATTTGGCCGCAATTACCTCGGCTGGTCCCAAGTTACATCATTGCTAGTGAAATGATTAACAAAATAATGGTAATGATACCAACGGTAAATTAAATGGAAATAAAAGGAGCTTAGTGTACTATTCAATTTCCCGCTTGGGGACCACTCCTAAGTTGTGTTCTTCAGCTTCCCACTGGGAATTTCTACATGTAAATAAATATGCCTGGTTGAAACTGAACTTAGACCTCTGTACGGGCCTAACTCTGGGATTGCTTCTCTCTCCCGCCAGGAAGAGTTCCCGAGGCTAATGTCAGTGAAGATGGATTTCCCCTCCCCCCAAAATGTTCCAGTGAATTATGTAAATAGAGACAAACACCTTATAGGGCTGACCTCTGTCACAGAATTTGACATCCTCCTGCCCTAGCCAAACCAAGTGGAAAATTGGATTTAAAGAGAACGAATCAGGACTTCCATTGCAGCCCAGATGCTTTGTGGTGTCTGGGTTCTCGCCACCACAAATCAACACAACCCCACCAAGAGAAATTACCAACAGATGTGACAAGGAATGGGCATGACAGTTGCGGTCCACTTCGTGTCACCAGCAGGTACCAATCTTGTCAGAGGCCTTTTTATTAGGGTTTCAGCCATAGTCATTAGTTTTTCCAATAGTTCACCCTACAAGAAGAATGACAGCCCTGGGTTTAAAATCCAGCTCTGCCTCTTATTAACTGTGTGATTTCAGACCTGTTACTTAAAAAGCACCCTGGGAACCATTTCCTCATCTTTAAAATAAGGATAATAATAGTACCTATTGACAATGTGGCTTTGAGAAGTGGAAAGAGAATACATGTTGCAGGGCCTGACCCAGGCTAATTGCTCGAGAAATGACGTCTATTCTTACTGTACTATAGCCTCCAATTAAAGGTTGATTCCATTTCAGGATGAGTATAAATTTGGTTTTAGACTCTGATTTTTAACGTGACTTGAGGCTGCCTTAGGTCTTGAAGTTCTATTGATATCAGCTTGTATAAAGTTAAGCTGTTCTTTTAAGAATTACCTACCTGACACTTATTAGCAACGTAATTTGGAGCAAATCCTACCTTCACGGGGTCTTAGTTTCCTTTTTTGTTCAACTGAAATTGAACAAAGATAGAATTATAAGACTCTCAGAAGATATAAGAGAGATGAAATTATAAGACTCTTAGAAGAAAACATAGGAGTAAACTTTCATGACCTTGGATTAGACAGTGAACTCTAGATATGACAAAAAATGGACAAGTGGTAAAAGAGAAGATTCACAAGTTGGACTATATCAGAACTGAAACCTTTTGTGCTTCCAAGGACACCATCAAGAAAGTGAAAAGACAACCCACAGGACGGTAGAAAATATTTGCAAATCATATATATCGGATTAGACATGAATCCAGAATCTATAAAGAACACTTACAACTCAACAACAAAAAGACAAATGAAATGATTTTTGAGCAGGCAAAAGATTTGAATAGACATTTCTCCAAAGAAGACAGGCAAATGGCCAATAAGCTATGAGAAGATGCCCAACATCCTTGGCCAGCAAGGAAATCCAAATGAAAACCATATGAGATCGTGCTTTACACCTACCAGAACGACTGTAAAAAAGACAGACAGTAACAAGTATTAGTGAAGCTGTGGGGAAGTTGGAACCCTCGTACATTGCCAGTATAAAAATGTGAAAAGGTAGGGGAGGGGGGTGGGAGGATGGGTTAGCCTGGTGATGGGTATTAAAGAGGGCACGTTCTGCATGGAGCACTGGGTGTTAGACACAAACAATGAATCATGGAACACTACATCAGAAACTAATGATGTAATGTATGGGGATTAACATAACAATAAAAAATAATGGAGCAAAAAATTTTAAAAAATGAAAATGTGAAAAGGTGCAGCCACTTTTGGAAAACAGACTGACAGTTCCTCAAAGGATAAACACAGAGTTACTTAATGACCCAGGAGCTGCACTCCTGCTAGCCAAGAGAAATGAAAACATCAGGGGCACCTGGGTGGCTCAGTCGTTAAGCGTCTGCTTTCGGCTCAGGTCATGATCCCAGGATCCTGGGATCGAGCCCCACATTGGGCTCCCTGCTCTGCGGGAAGCCTGCTTCTCCCTCTTCCACTCCCCCTGCTTGTGTTCCCTCTCTCGCTATCTCTCTCTGTCAAATAAATAAATAAAATCTTAAAAAAAAAAAAAAAAGAAAGAAATGAAAACATCTGTCCACATGAAATCTTGTACAGAATATTCACAGCAGCATTATTCATAATAGCACCAAAGTGGAAACAACCCAAAGGCCTACTGACTTATGATGAACCTTGAAATCATTAGGCTAAGTGAAAGCAAAGCCAGTCACAAAAGACTACATATTATATGATTCCATTTTTATAAAATGTTCAGCATAGGCAAATCTGTAGAGACTGACTCCAAAAGGCTGGGAGGAGGGGCGTTGGGAGAAAGTAGGAAATGACTGCTGGTGGGTACAGTTTCTTTTGGGGGGGCGGTGATGAAAATGAATTTTTTAAAAAGATTTATTTATTTATTTTAGAGAGGGCAGGGGAGGGGCAGAGAGAGTGGGAGAAAGAAACCCAAGCAAACTCCCCACTGAGCATGGAGCCCAACAGGGGGCTTGATTCCACTACACTGAGACCAGGACCTGAGCCAAAGGCAAGAGTCTGACACCTAACCAACTGCACCACCCAGGTGAGCCGGTCATGAAAATTATTTAAAATTAGATTACAGTGATAGTTGGTCAACTCTGCATATATGCTAAAAAAACATTGAGTTTACATTTTAAAAATTCAATGGTCTGGGGACATGATGATTTATTTGGACCTTGTCCAATTTAACATTTTATAGAATAGAAACGGATCTTGAAATGGTGATGGGCCCTACAGGAAAAGAATTCATGGTTGTGCACCAGCCTGTGTATAGCGACAAAGCCCACCATCCTACTATAAAAATTAACTAATTCACGGGTTAGCTGCTGCGTATGCAAACTGGTGGTCAGGCACTTTATAACCACTGACGTTTGTTGGGATGCTCATCCTATGCCTGCTCCTATTCTACGCACTTTCCATGGGTCTCATTTAATCCTCACAGCAGCCCTAGGAGGGTTCAAATGAGAAACTGAGGATCGGAGGGTTACAAAGATAGGAAGTTGAAGGGTTAGATGCAAATGCAAACAGCTTGACTCCAAAGCCCTTGGCCATACTTCTTTCTACCCTGCTGGCTTCCTCTATACATCTACCTGGGTGAGAGGAAAGTGTGTGCTTAATCAGCAGTGAGCAAATAACGGAGTTAAAAATAACCTTAACATTTCTAGGTTTAGTTCTTAAAAGCAGGTGGGTGGTATGATCACTGTTTTTTAAAGCCGTGAATTCGGCTTCCCTGGATGCTCAGGCAGGCACTGCGATTTGCTTGCAAGGCACACACTCCCGGCTTCCCAGGGCTAGAAAGGCGCCTCTTATCAAAACCAGGCTGACTATTCTTTTTAATTTTTCCTTTGTAAATGTCTGTAATGGAGCAGCTTCCCAGAGAGCTCCTGGAGCTCCGGATTACTCCACAGCTGGGAAGTTTGCTCCAGAAGCCCTGAAGAAGCCAGATTTCAAAGCGCCCTGTCCCACAGTCCGCAGTTCTCCCATCATAAACGCCAGAAAACGCCTCGGGGAAGGTAGCGAGCTGGAGGCGGCGGCAAATTGCGAGGCCCCGCCTTCGGCGCTGGCGGTCCCGCCCCGGGAGCGGGGGCGGGAGCGGGGGCGGGAGCGGGGGCGGTTAGCTCGGGCCCCTACCCGGCCCTCCTCTTCCTGCGCACGCTGGCGGCTGGGCCTCGGGCTGCAGCAGCCTGCGGTAGCCTAGAATGTTCGCTCGCCGCGGGCTTGTGCCTGAGAAAGCCCAGTGCAGCTCTGGAGCTTAGCATAGATAAAAGGAAGGTTGGTGCCCACCCTGGGCATGAGCTGCAGGGCTCCACATGGACAGCTGGGCCTCCAGCGTGTGGGCGGCCCGCTGGGCCAGGCGTCCTGCCCGGCCCCTGCCCGCGTCCTTGCCCCGCGCACGCGGCCCCCCCGGCCCCGGCAGGCCAGGCAGCCGCGTCCTAGGTGTGTGCCCCAGTCGCCAAGGCCCAGTGGACCGCTGTGGGCACCAGAGGCTCCTTTGGGACGACGCTTCCTTTGCAGATATCTGGCGCTTTTGCGAACGAATTGTCAAGGTCTGTGTTTTAAAAACAAAACAAACACCCAAGCCCTAGAAATCCAGAATTGTGTGATGACATGACCCGGGGTGACAAAACAGCCCCAGAACACTGGATTCCCTCCTCCTCCATACCCCCACTTCCAAGAAGGCCTTCCTGGTGGGGGAGGCGGGGGCGGTGTTGGGGGCTTGCTGAGCCCAACCTTGGGATTCCCTGTCTACAACCTATTTACAGGCGGGTCCAGAGGTCCCAAGGCCATGCTTGTGCCCCCTTCCTGCATGGCCTGATCTCCCAGCGTCAGATTCACTGCTCTAATGAATGTCTCTTTAACTGGCGAGGCAGCCCTGAGAGTGGGAAGAACCTGACACCGGCTGAGCCAGATCATGGAGCAAATCAACGGTGGTCTCCAGTTCCTGCACCGAGGGGCAAGAAAGCACCGAGGAACATAACGCAGTGGAGATCGTTTTATTTTCCGGGACTTCAGGGAGGTAAAGTAACACAGGCACATACTTCGGTGAACCACCTGAAACGGGTGGAGGTGGTGAGACCTCCCCAACTCCCTTGCCTGAGTCACAACAGGCAAGTGCTGCCTTCTTACCTGGACGGTAGGTCAGGTTAATTGGAGAGGAGGCAAGCCTGAGCCGGAGTTGCTTGGGCAAGCAGAAAGGAGCCTGAGGTCTGCTCTGTGTTCATCCCTTTCCCTCCCCAGGCTCAGTCTCTCTAGGACTACAGAACATCTGATTGAAGAGACATCTAGTCAGGAGGCTTTCATGATCCCCCAGAGCTAGCTGGCAGGGGGTGCGGAGGGGGGGGGGTGCGCCTCGAGCCGACCTCCCTTTCTGCCTCTGTAGCATGTGGGGCGAGACCTGCTGGGTCAGCCTGTGACTCTGACTCACTGTGAAACCCAGGCTGAGTAATAGAATCTGAAGCTCTTCCTGTACATTTTCAAGATGGTTCTCTTGGGTTTTTTATTCCTCTCAGTCTCTCTGCTTCTGGCCTAAAAGAGCTAGGCCATAGTCAGATGATCAAAGCAACTGGTGCAAGACAATTGCTTTGATTTGCTGTTTGCTTCAACTCTGCATTACCCGCAGTAGCCTTTCTAATGAAGCCACTCTGAGCACAAGATTTTAAAACTCACAGGTATCAGGGCCCTTGAAGTCATCAGTCCTTCCCAATCTGTCCCAAGGCCCCCTTACTCTAAAAAATATTTTATGTACCCTCTTTACTATCCTGAAATGAAACTCAGAAATAATATAAGCAACCTGTATATATGATTTTTAAAAAATCATCCTAATATTCTTACTATATTAAATAGAAGAAGTTAATTTATTAGGAATATATACTTCAATACAGACATGTTTGGGTACAACCCAACTAGAGACATAATGAAGTCAGAGCCTCCTCCTATGCACAAAATCATGTATATGATTCAGTGTATATGTCTGTTTGAGCTCCAAATGCACAGGGATGCAGGGGTGTTGTATTGGTGACTCAGAGATCATGAGTCCTGTCAGTTTTCCAAAATGAGTTCCAGCATTGGTGGTTCAGTGGTTCATTTTGCGCTGGCCAAAATGAATTCCAAAAGAATTTAAACAACTCTCGATTAAAGTAGTACTACTAATAAGGTAACCCAACAAATTCTACTCCTAAGTATATGTTCAAGAGAAACAGAAACACACGTCCATGCAAAGACTTGTACAGGAAATTTCACAGTTGCATTATTCATAACAGCCAGAACAGGGAGACCTTCCAAATGTCTGTCCACTGGCGATGGGTTGAAAAGCAAAGGGTGGTGCACTTCAGTGGAATACTATTCAGCAGTCCTAAGAAGCAAGCAAACTAATCACCCATGGCACAACACAGCTGAACCTCAAAAAACGTTACGCTAAGTAAAAAAAAAGAGAAACTCAAAAGGCTACATGTTGTATGATTCTGTTTATGTGAAATTTCTGGAAAAAAAAATCTCTTGAGACAGAGAACAGATCAATAGCTGCCTGGGGGTGGAGCAGGAGTTGACTACAAACAGGTACAAGGAATGGAAATGTTCTGAGTCTGCACCATGGTGATGGTGGCCTGGCTTATCCAGGCCACTGACATCACTGAAGCGGCTAAATACTTCCCTGGATTGATAATGCTTTAGAAATGAGTGAATTTTGGGGCGCCTGGGTGGCTCAGATGGTTAAGCATCTGCCTTCAGCTCAGGTCATGATCTCAGGGTCCTGGGATCGAGTCCCGCATCGGGCTCCCTGCTAGGCAGGGAGCCTGCTTCTCCCTCTGCCTCTGCCTCTCTCTCTCTCTCTGACTTTCATGAATAAATAAATAAAACATTAAAAAAAAAAAAAAGAAATGAGTGAATTTTATAGTATGTAAATCACAACTCAATACAACTATTTTTAAGATGTACTCTACCCTTGATTTATGTGGTAATTCCATTTTTTCAAAAATTCGATGTACACCAGTTGTGCCAAAAATGAATTGTATTCATATTAAAGCAGAGCCAGATTTTAGCATCAGGTAATTATGAACAAGTTTTCCTGTCCATGAGTGTCCAGTAGGACATGGGACAGTTGTGAGGGACAGTTTGCTGTGAGGGACTGTCTTACATGTTGTAGGTTACCTACTATTCCTATCTCCTGCCCAGTGAATTCCAGAAGCAGCCTCTAATCACTGTGACACTGAGAATGTCCCTACAGAAGTCCAAATCACCCCCTAAGAAGTAGTTTCATCCCCACTGACAATTCCTGATGTAGTCCAATGTCACATGGGGAGACTGAGGCCAGGTGAGGGGCAAAAACTTGCCCAGGCTCCCAGAATGAGTTAGTGCTTAGTGGCATTTGACCCAGACATTTTTTTTTTAATATTTTATTTATTTATTTGACAGAGAGAGAGAGATCACAAGTAGGCAGAGAGGCAGGCAGAGGGAGAGGGAGAAGCAGACTCCCTGCTGAGCAGGGAGCCCGATGTGGGTCTCGATCCCAGGCCCCGGGGAATCATGACCTGAGCTGAAGGCAGATGCTTAACAGCTGAGCCACCCAGGCGCCCCTGACCCTGACATTCTTTTTTTTTTTTTTTTTTTAAGATTTTATTTATTTATTTGACAGAGAGAGACACAGTGAGAGAGGGAACACAGCAAGGGGGAGTGGGAGAGGGAGAAGCAGGCTTCCTGCCGAGTAGGGAGCCCGATATGGGACTCGATCCCAGGACCCTGGGAGCATGGCCTGAGCCGAAGGCAGACGCTTAACGACTGAGCCACCGAGGCGCCCTGACCCTGACATTCTAAACCACACCTCAGATTCTCTGGCCTGTATCAGACCTATATCATCACTCTTATATTTCTTTCTCTCCGGACTACTCCATCCTTCTGGTACCTAACATGTAAACAGCTCAGGCTCATTCAAAGTTACATAACAGAGGAGGCAGGCAGGGATCTAGAGATTGTCAGTATTATGCTAGCCCAGGAAATTCATCATCAGGGAGCTCAAGCCACGGGGGCAGCTGGTTCTGTGAGTCCCAAACATGAAGCTTCAGTGAGTGTATGGGTCCAGGAATGTCAGGTACCCTCCACGCAGGCTGCAGTTCCAACATCTCCTGGGTCAAACATTACTAACGGATTATGGCATGCCTCCCTTCTGAGACTGGATGCAGATTCCACCTCTTTCTCAAGACAGCCATTGTTATTGAAATTTTCAGAAGAGACAAATAGTTACTGTCCTAGAGGTGCTGGGTCCAGAGAAAGGAAATGGGCTGGGTACAGGTATGAGACAAAGAGCCACCATTAGTCCAGGAGGAGGAGAAGGCTTCTGGGTGTGATAAACAAAAGAGCAGACCAAAATGAAAGACCAGACAAGGACACGGGAAACAACATTTCAGCCTTTGGTTCAGACAGATGGGTCCTCAGAGAGCAGATGCTCAGTAACTGCTTGATGAATGACCACTGAGAGAAAAACAGGGACTGTCTGTCCTGGTTTTATAGCAACATCTTGGTCAGAACCCAGGTAGGTAGGTGTGTGTTGCTCCCCGAAGTGAGACTGGAATCCAAAGGTCTCTGAAGCTGATCTCATAGCCTAAGCTCTCTGGAGAGTCCTTGTTTTATGTTAGAGGAGACTCATCCTGGATCCAAGGAGTTCTCCAGCACAGATGGATGTGATCACAAGAACAGGTTTCTCTTAGAGGGAACCAGAGAGACTCATGCAATGTCTAAGATTTGGGGAATAGAGTCTAGTGGCCAAGGGCATGAGCTTTGGAGTCAGACAGACGTGGGTTGAGATCCCAACATGGCCAGTTACTAGCTTTGTGATCTTGAGCAAGTTGCTTAACTTCTCAGAAGTCATTTTTCTCATCTCTCCATGGGTTCTAATTCACAGAGTGTTGTGAGGGTTAAATGAATGGACATTCAAATATCTCTTTGCCCATTTGAAAGTAGCCATGAAATTTAGTGAGGATGGCCTGCATCCCAAGCTTCAGGGATAGGTCACAACTGATCTAATCACTTCGGATAATCCCAGCCCTGTTGCTACACTGATTGGTTTGGGGATGAGTTACCTGGGCTGTGCCAATCAACATGTGGTTTTTCTCCTGGTTAATTCAGTTTGGTTCAGCCAGTAAAATTCAGAAATGTTGTTTGGGTGGTAGGAGGAGGACTGACTCGATCTCTCTCTCTTTTTTGTCTCTCTTTCTCTTTCTCTCTTTCTCCTCCTAGATATGAATGAGGCATTATGTGGCCTCAGCTTCTGCCAGAAGCTCTTTTGTATCCATGAGTAAAATCTGGCCTGCAGAAATGCAACACATGGACTAAGTCAGAACTAGATCACAGAGAAACCAAGCCAGACCCCTGATTAAGCTTTACCTGACCCAGGATGATCTGTCCCTGGACTTTTAACTCAAAAAATGGATTGGGCTTCCTGTTACTTAAAACGTAAAGGGTTAACACTTGTAAGCGCTCAATAAATGCTAGCAATCAGAACTATTAGTATTTTGATCAAGAGGATTACTAACTGAAGACCAAAAAAGGGTTTGACATTTTCATCCCAAGGTACAGCACAATTTTTCCAATGGCATTCAGCTATTTCACACCTTTTTTTTTTTTTTTAAGATTTTATTTATTTGAGAGAGAGAGAATGAGATAGAGCATGAGAGGGAAGAGGATCAGAGGGAGAAGCAGACTCCCTGCTGAGCAGGGAGCCTGATGCGGGACTCGATCCCGGGACTCTAGGATCATGACCTGAGCTGAAGGCAGATGCTTAACCAACTGAGCCACCCAGGCGCCCCTATTTCACACCTTTATCAAACCAATTAATCCAACAAGTAATGATTGAGTTCCTACCACGTGACCGGCCTGGTGCTAGGTGAGCCGCTATGGTGGAGAGCCAGACAGATTAGGTACTGCCAATTGCCCAGACCCACTGGCCCGAGAGCCTCACTCCATCGCCACCCCTCTGAGGGGTCTCCTTCCTACGGAGCTGGAAGGGTGAGCTGCATGCTCCCAAGTGTGTACATCCCTGAAAGGAAAACCTTGCAAAATGATAAGGCATGTGGAAGCTCTGCGTGGCAGCCAAACAAGCGGTTTTTAGTGTGGCATTGGCAGGACTCACTCCTTCCTTCCTGCCTCCCCATACTCGGCCAGGTAGACCCTCCTCACCTTCCTCTCCTGCTGCGCCTTCATCTGCCTTCAAGACATCACCAGAAGCTCTCTAAGATGCTTCCTGGCTGAGGCAGATGCTCACCGTCCTCCTCTTGGGACCTCACATCCGTTTCCCTCCCCTGCTCGCTTAGTCACTCTGGGGCTCCTGGCTTCCAGCTGCTCATTCTTCCAGCTGTGACCTTGCCCTGCCCTTCAGGTTGTGGACTCTCTCAGTTCACCTTTACCTGTGCCTTCCAGCCCACTGCGCTGTCTCAAGGGCTCGCTTTAAACCTGCCCATAGCCCCACTTGCCCACAGGTGGCTTATAGGGGTTCTGAAGATAATTCCATTATGCCGAGATTCCTGACTTCTTCTGTAGCTCCTGGCCCCCGGCCTAGACTTGCCTCGTGCCTAAATAAATTCCGACCTTTAACATAATGGGGACAGTGCCTTGTCCTGACTCAAAAGCTGCATTGCAAAAAAAAGGGGAAAATGCTGCATTGCTATCCCATTTTCCCCAGCCTTGCTTTTCCTTTTGTCATATATGCTGAAAGCAAACAAGTAACACATATTTAAGGGGGGGGGGGGCCTCACGTTATAGCATATGATAAAGTAGAAGGTTAAAGCCTTCCGTCTGTTTCCCTCAGTCCCTCTCCGAGACAACGGTGCTACCAGCTGGCTGTGTAGCTCTGACCCAGGTAGTCCTGGGTTCTAGAGGCAGGTCCCCTGGATTCAGGTCCCACTCTACCACTTGTTAGCTGTAGATACTGAACAACATAGCTAACCTCCCTGAGCCTTGGTATACTTATGTGTAAAACTCAAATGATAACAGGACCTACTTTTGAGGTTGCCTGGGATGGGGGTGGAGGAACTAAAGATAAGAAAGGCAGGAAAGCACTTAGAACAGCGAGTGGCATATGGTTAAATGCTTAATACATGGAAATTATTACCTACCTCATTTTTAGTAACAGTCATACAGGGTTCCATAGTTTGATGCCTTTTATTATAAGCTCATGTGGTTCATAGGTTCACTGACCAGTTACTCCAGAATCGTGATCCAATACTGAGAGTGAGTATTTGAAGTTGGGGCCCCTTGGGAAACCCAGGATCTGTGGTTTTGGTTTTCCTATTTGGAATCCAGTGACATTGTTCATCCCAGCTTCAGGTGTTCACATGCTGGCTAGCAGATACCGCAAGAGACCATTTTCTAGCAAGGGTCACCTCTGCATTCTTCTAGATGTGTTCTCGAACTTACACACCCTTTCTTTCCTCCCAAGTTCTGTGTCCTGGGGAGCCAGCAGCCTGGATGGCCACCTCTGCTCTGACCTGAGCTTACTACCAATTAGAATCAGAGCACTTTTTCCCTCTGCTCTTCAGCATGCTAGGCTGACAACACCCTTGCTCCCTAGCAGGTTAAAGCAATCCCAAAATATCTTTGAATAGTTCTCTTTCCTGGAGAAAAAGAAAGGAAAGAAGCAATAGACCAGATGGATCTAAATTGAACACACTTTTCTCGGCACTTAATTTCCCTTACACCGAGCACAAAAGTCATTTGGGGGCCTTCTGGGAATACTTCCCAAGCAACGCCTGGAGTTTTAACCATTTGACAGCCGTAAACCATACTGAGCCTCACGGGGCTTAGCTCCCCACCCACCACCCACGAGCACGATCAGAAACTACCATTTACCCTGGGAAAGCGTCCTGTAAGTGGCACCAACCAATCTTCTCCAATACAAGCAGACCACAAGTGGTGCTGACAACCATGCTCAGCAGAAGATGCAGGGGAGAAGGAGAAAGAGCCAAGACAGCCCCTAGAAGCAAATGCTCCACCTTCCCCAATTAAGATGTCCATGTCTCTGTTGTCCCTTTTTGTTCATGGCGCTGTCCCATGGCCATCTCCAGATCAAAGGCAGACGAGTAGGAGGTGGAATTCCTAGTCATTGTTTCTTGTTCACCACCTGTATCCAGCCAGCTAGCTGGTTGAGTCTACTCAAGGATGGGTCTTACATCCATCCCAACTTTTGCTTCTCTATGGTCTGTTTTCTAGTTCAACAAAATGTACTGGAACTATTGGGGGCTTTGTCGGCACTCAGCTGAAAGAATACATCCCAACAATCCTCCTTATTCATTGTGGGACCTCCAGCAAGTCACTTCACCTCTCTGAGTCTCGGTTGTCTCATGTGTGAAAGGGGAAGACAATGCCCAACGCAGTATATTACTGTACAGATAAAACAAGAGCTGCATGACAAGTGCTGATACCCACTAGTGCTCAATAAGTATCTATTGGACGATGAAGAAGTGAACAGAGACTTGCAGTTAAATGGGTTGGAATTGCTTTGTATGTTTACTTTTTTTTTCCCCCTAACCATACTAAAATGGAAATAAAGAGATAAATAGAAGTGTAAACTTACAGGGACGCAAAGAACAAAAGGAGCATAACCTTGATCTGTGACCCCTAGGCACAGGAAACAAAAAAGAAACCATCCGTGTGACACCTGCCTATCAGTTAGTCCTTGCGTCATGAACCACTCCAAACATGATGGGCGAGAACCACAATCATTTGCTCACAATTGTGCGAGTCGGTGGTTTGGGCTGGGCTCAGGTGGGTGCTTCTGCTGTTATTAACCGAATTCACCCCTTTGCAATCAGGGGGGAGCTGGGGTGACTGTGGGCTGGGCTCTGCTGGGTGGGTTGGCTTCTCCCTCCCTGTGGTCTCTCACTCTGCAGGCGGGGGCTTTTGCTTCTTCACCCAGTGGTCTCAGAGTTCCTAGCAGCCAGCGGCTACCCCCCAGTGCACAAGCTTCTACTTGACTGGCATTTGCTAATGTCCCATTGGCACGTCACAGATTCAGCGTGGGAGAGAGTTGCAGAGAGTCAGGATGCCTTGATTCATGAGGGAACATTCTGCAACATTATTGCACAACTTCTGACGCACATTCACCATCTTTCTCAGTTAAGAGGATCATGTCTCCGTTGCCTATTGATAGAGATGCTCTCCAGTGGTACTGACAGAGTCAGAGGTAGATCGAAAGGGATAAAAGCAGGTGCACAAGTGAGATTGACTTAGCCAACCAGAGAAAATGGAAACCAAAGTCTGAAGTGGGGGGACACCAAGAGGGAAACTGGGGAATGCTACGGATCCCCAGAGAGTCAGAAATTGAAGGCACCAAGTACATCTGAAATTCAGAGCACAGGTGGGGCTGCAAACAGAGGAATGGGCTGAAGGCCTGCGTAAGAGGCACCGTCCTGCCCCTCTGCATCTTTGGTCCTGCCCCGCACAATCCAGTGAATACCCGTCCATAGCCCAGAGTTAAGATGGACCCTGGGCAAGGTGAAACCAGGATTCTTATCTCGGAAGACCAGGCACTGCTGAAGGTGGGGGCACCGTACTAAAAACTGGGGGGTTACTCAGCTAACAGTAAAATAACAATAATAAGAAAATTAGATGATGCCACAAGTAGATTAATAGAAATTCCAGAGAGAGAAAAAATAAATGAAGAAGTTATCAAAGACTTCAATACATTTCAGTACAATTTCACAGTTTAAAGAAATGAGTTTCCGAATTGAAAAGGCCCACTGAGCACTTTGCAGAATTAATTTTAAAAGAAAAAAGAATGTAAAGAAAGAGAAAAAGCAGAACTAAGGGAAATCACTGTGAAAGTTCAGAATAGCAGGAATAAAGAGAAAATCCTAACAGCTTCCACAGAGAAAAGATCAAACAAACAATCAACAATGAAAACGAGACCCACAGAGGCTCAGAAATCCAGATGGCATCAGACTTAGTGGCCACAGCAGGTGCTAGAAGATAGTGGAGACGTGCTTTCAAAATACTGAGGGCAAATGATTTTCATACTAGAATGCCATACTCAGCCAAGCTGTGATTGTGGTGGTAGGCTAACGATATTTTAGACATTAAAGACCTGAAGAAATTTACCTTACACGCATCCTTTCTTAGGAAGTTACAAGAAATAAGAAGTCACAGAAAACAGGACCTGCCTGTTACTAGCATATTGTCTCTTGTCTCAGAACTGTAAACCCACACTTGTAATACTCTGCTACGTGATGCCGGACTGAGATTCTGAAAATGCCTTCCGCCTCGGCCAGCTGGCTCCCTGTTAACTTGTGCTCATAGGGAAGGGGTTTGCCAGAGGGGGACGGGAGGGCTGGAGAAGGACGGAGGGACGTGCTCCCTCCTGTTTGCTTCCTATCTGCAATTCCTGAGAGGATCACGCTGGCCACCTCTTCACCTTGGCAGAAAAACCTTCCTGAAGCAACAGCTGAAGCCAGTTTGCAGTTTTCCCAACACTTGCAGAATCTACTTTACTGTGCCCTAGATCTAGATCGCAATACCAGCACCAGCACCAGCCCAACCACCGCCTTCACTGCCCCACCTCCGCCTTCCCACACATGCAGTTAAAATTACTGGTATGGCTTTTGGCTTTTGGCTCGGGGAGGCAAAGGTGCAACTTTCTTCGGTCGTCCCGAATCCAGGTTCATCCGACACCAGCCACCTCCGCCATGCCGCCTAAGTTCGACCCCAACGAGATCAAAGTCATGTACCTGAGGTGCACCGGTGGCGAAGTCGGTGCCACGTCTGCCCTGGCCCCGAAGATCGGCCTGCTGGGTCTGTCTCCAAAAAAGGTTGATGATGACATCGCCAAGGCAACCGGTGATTAGAAGGGTCTAAGGATTACGGTGAAACTGACCATTCAGAACAGGCCCAGATTGAAGTGGTACCTTCTGCCTCTGCCCTGATTATCAAAGCCCTCAAGGAACCACCAAGAGACAGACAGAAGCAGAAAAACATTAAGCGCAGTGGAAATAATCACTTTTGATGAGATTGTCAATATTGCCCGACAGATGCGACACTGATCTTTAGCCAGAGAACTCTCTGGAACCATTAAAGAAATCCTGGGGACTGCCCAGTCTGTGGGCGGCAATGTTGATGACCGCCACCTTCATGACATCATAGATGACGTCAACAGTGGTGCAGTGGAATGCTCCGCTAATTAACTACAAAGGAAAATGTTTCAATAAAGGATCATTTGACAACCAAAAAAAAAAAATTACTGGTATGGTTTCTGAAACCTGATAGTAGTGAGAGGAGACCCCCGCCCAATGGGCTATGCATCAGACTGGTGGGTTGCTTGAATGGATAGCCCCAGTTGGTGACCTTCCTGTATCTATGCTCTTTGCAGACTGACTTCCAGAATCTTTCATTGAAACATGGAATCTGTTTCTCTACACCTTGATTCTGGACTGCCACTGTGACTTGTTTGGCTGGGAGAATGAGATGGAAGTCATGGTGAACCAGTTCCAATCCTAGCCTCAGGAGGTCTTGGGTATTTCCTTTCTCTCTCTTTGGAGTCCTCGTCTCCACCATGCAATCTCAGCTAACCCGCTGGAGGAAAAGAAATCATGGGGCATGCCATCCTGCAGCCAGCTGCCTCACCCCTACCCTCCCAAGCAGGGCTGTAGTTAACTGCAGATGCCTGAGGGAGTCCAGCTGAGCCTGGGAGGACCAGCGCGAAGAGCTCAGCCCAAACTCCAGCCTGCGGGACTGTGAGCTGAATTAAGTGATTGTTGTTTTTAACCACTACATTTTAGAGTGATTTGTTGTGCAGAAATAGCTAATTGATTCACAGGCTTAGTTAGAGAGCAACCAGTCCATATTGGAGCAGGAGGCCTCAAGGCTCACCAGTGGATGTATTCAGGAAACAAAATGATACCCTTAGATAAGCTAATGTGTTTGAGTATGTTGAAAGAATATTTACATTTCTAGGGGAGAGTTAAGTAATGATTTGCTTTTAGATTCATTCATAGAAAGCTAGGCAATTTATAATCAAAAAAATTGTACAAGAAAGACAATGCATCATAAAGTTTGACAGGTCTTACCTATGAATAATATTCACACAACCATAATAAAGCAAACACTGAATATTGTTTTAACTTTAAATTATGGTATAATGATATTGGGAGGCCGGGGCTGGGTGTGACTCATGCACATGTGTGATGGAAGATGAAGAGGTAAAATGGGGAGAAATCTAAATCCTATCTTCCATGATTAGAAGTCAAGAAATAGCAGAATGAATATGTTGGAAGCATAGAGAAATTTCAGAAGAAACAACTAAATTAAGTAGATGGCTCTGTGAAGTCACAGCGTTAGTGGGGTGAGTTGGGACTTATTGTAAGCTTTGTGGTACTATTTGATATGACTGTGTGAGTGTAATAAATAAATATATGTGTGTGTGTGTGTGTATATATATATATAATAAAATTCAAATTTACTAAAATGAATGGCCTTTGTGGTTTTCCTTCTGCAGTAATTGCCAACTCACTATTGTGAACTTGATTCCCAAGGCTTGGTTTCAGCAGTTCTGTCTTTCTGTGTTTTTACTAGTGGAAATGCAGATAATATTCCTTAAAGTTCTCTTGTGTCCTATGGGCCCTTGCTCCCAAATCTAATCACCGTCTTTGGTTCTCCCTTCCAAATACGGCGGCCCACCTATCTCACCATCATGTGTGTACGAGAGCTCAGGACATCTTCCCAACCAGTTTCCCCATCTCTCATCTTTCTTGTTCCCTTCAAATATTCTTCACTGAGCTACCAGAAATGATCTTTCTAAGCAAGTCATCTCAGGTCATGGCCCTGTCTAAAATTCTCCTTCATCTACTCACTAAAACGGCATGCTTGGTCCTTCATGGTCTGGGCTCTCACCTTTCCAGCCTTATCTCTTGCCACCTGTCAAGCTTGTCTCCAGCCACATAGCCTCTTCCCACCCCTTGTTTTTGTCATGTTCTGGTTTTCTCCTTAGTTTTTGCACATGGGATTCCTTCTGGCAGACCCTATTGGTTACCAACTCAAAATTCACTCTTCCTTCTCTTTTTACCTACAGATTCCTAGAAATCCCTCCATCTCAGGGAAGGCAGGACCTAGTCTTAGTCTGGAGGTGGGCATATAACCCAGTTCTGGCTAATTATTTGGAAGAGTTCTGGCCATGGAACATCAGGAAAGCTTTTCCCTTCGTGATAAGAGGAAAGTATGCAAGCAAAAACTCCCAACCCCATGGAGATGGGCTAGAGACCTGGACCTGCTGTAGAGCAGTGGGAGGAAGAAAGGGGGTGCCTCCTGGAACTCAGGCTTCCTACAGTCTCTGCACCAATGATAGAAACACCACGTGACATTTTGCTGTAGAAAAATAACTCCTCGTTTATGCCACTGCTGACTAGGGCAACACTTGAAGCTGAAAGTGTTTGTATTGGATATACCTACACTTCCCAGCCTCAAGCCTGCTCATTAAAGAGCTCTGTCCCTGACCCTGTGCACCTAGAGCTGCTTTAATTATAGCATAATAGCTAACAGCACCAGATCGGAAGCCAGACTGCCCCGGTTCTTCACCCAGCTCTACTGCCTACTGGTTGGTAACCTTGCACAAGTTATTTCTCCTCTCTGTGCCTCAGGTTCCTCGTCTATTAAATGGGGATAAGAAATTATTAGCTGTATCTAATTATCATAGGGAGTAAACGAGTTAATAGATGGAATGTACTTTGTACCTGGCTCCTGCTAATCATTCCCTTAAATTTTGCTGTTATTAAATAGCAATATATTAGCTTCATCATACTCAATCACAATAGCCTAATAATCCTTTTCCCTGATAGGTTGTAAAGTTAATGAAAGCAGGGATACATTTGTCTAGTTTATTATATTCTCAGGGATACTTTGTCTAGACATACTGCCCAGTAAATATTTACTGAATAAATAAACATAGATCATACAACATAAACAGTATACAAAAAGTAAACCAAGTCAAACATTAACCCAATTGGAAAGGCTTTGTTCACCTGAAGTCAGTGAAAGGAGTTATAAATTCATAGCTTTGTGAGTTCTAGAAGGCTACTGCAGGAAAAATGCCCATCATTGCTTCAAAAGACTAAACACCCATGTGCTCATCAGACCCCCAGTGAGCAAGCTTCATTCCATCAAGGAAAAAACCACAAGATCAGCCAAAAGATACTCAATAGCCAGTGTTGAGCCAGATGTCTGTAAGCAATTGCCTTGGCCTTGTCCACATTTGGCCTTCTGAAGATGGAGACTGTATCAAAGATAGGATGTGGGAAATAACAATAAATCAAAGCACACCAATTCCAGATAACTGTTCCTCCAGTATCTTTTTTGGTTTATTTTGATTTATCATGCTTTTCCTTGCCATTCAACTAGTAACAGAGGAACTCCCACTCTCTGGGCTTTCATTTTTTTAATTAATTAATTAATTTTGGATTATTTATTGATTTCACAGAGAGAGACACAGCGAGAGAGGGAACACAAGCAGGGGGAGTGGGAGAGGGAGAAGCAGGCTCCCCACCAAGCAGGGAGCCCAATACAGGGCTCGATCTCAGGACCCTGGGATCATAACCTGAGCTGAAGGAAGATGCTTACCCGACTGAGCCACCCAGGTGCCCCTCTCTGGGCTTTCAACTCATCCTTATCCCTCACTTGAGCTGGAATGTCATGACAAAGTTATCCTTTACAGTGTGTGTGTGTGTGTGTGTGTGTGTAAATAGAGAAGAAAAATCTAGCACAAGTAATTAGGATTTTCTGGTTAGTATGCAGTTTTTTCCCCCTCATGTCTGCTGATAGGTAAGACAGGGAAAAATACTCCCTGGGCCTTCAGAAAGTTTCTACCATCCATCCTCCTGATAAATCACTTTCTTATCTCTTGCTTTCCCCTTCACCTTGAGCAATTATAGCATCTTTCTTTGCAAAAGCTCAGTAATTGGAAAACTGGTTTATGAATCTGCTAACCTTTTCTTCCCTAAAGGTTTTTTTTCCCCATCATACAGAAAGCTAAAGGAAAGAGAAGAGAAAGGGGGGGAAAAAAGTATGTATTTTGTGAGATCTAGAAGGATGAAAATTGAACTTATTTAATATTCCCACTAGTTACTTTTCAAGAAGAACTTGAAAAAGGGGCACAAGAATTTGTCTTTTTTTTTTTTTAAGATTTTATTTATTTATTTGACAGAGACACAGTGAGAGAGGGAACACAAGCAGGGGGAGTGGGAGAGGGAGAAGCAGGCTTCCCGCGGAGCAGGGAGCCCGATGTGGAGCTCGATCCCAGGACCCCAGGATCATGACCTGAGCGGAAGGCAGACACTTAACGACTGAGCCACCCAGGCGCCCCTGGGCACAAGAATTTGAACCTTTGGATAACAACAAGGCTGAAGGTACATGAGGCATTTTCTTTTAAAAATGTATATTTTGGGGGGCACCTCACTTACCAAAAGGAAATGAAAGCATAGCGAGGCTAGAAATCACTTGCCTGAGGTCATGGAGTTAGTAGTAAAGGAGCTAAGACCCCAAAGAGGTCTGACTGGAAAGTGCACCGTCCCCACCAATGTGGGAACCTATATAATATGGGTCACCAGCATGGGACAGTTATCTGGAGCTGTTGTAAAGCTCCCTCTGGTCTTCTCAGAGCTTCTCCCTTCCAAGTGCAAGGTTTTCATCAAAGAGATCACCACACACAAGGAGGGAAGGCAGGAGATGCAAAGTACAGTTGGCACGTGTGCTTTGCTTGTTCCGGAAGTATTTTTAGGGACGCTTGGGTGGCTCAGGCAGTTAAGCGTCCAGCTCTTTGATTTCAGCTCAGGTCACGATCCCAGGGTCCGTGGGATCAAGCCCCAAGTTGGGCTCCACGCTCAGCGGGGAGTCTGCTGGAGATTCTCTCTCTCCCTCTGCCCCTTCTGTGCTCGCACTCTCTCTCAAATAAATAAATCTTTTTTTAAAAAGTATTTTTAAAGACAGTGTTATTAGGCAGGTATTTTTAATTTGCAACAACAAAAATTCCCATCCCTTTCTAGGATGCTTCCTAAACCCAGAGAACATCTGCAGAGGGAGTCCCTGCCCATCACCCTTGTCAGCCTCTCGCTAGCTATATGGTCTTGTGCAGGGGCTCCGCCTCTTTGTGCCTCCTTTTTCTTGTCTGTGAAGTGAACATAATAATAGCACGTCTCGGGGCACCTGGGTGGCTCAGTTGGTTAAGCAACTGCCTTCGGCTCAGGTCATGATCCCAGGGTCCTGGGATCGAGTCCCACATCGGGCTCCCGGCTCAGCGGGGAGCCTGCTTCTCCCTCTGACCCTCTCCTCTCTCATGCTGTTTCTCTCGCGCTCGCTCTCTAATAAATAAATAAATAAAATCTTTAAAAAAAAATAATAATAATAGCACGTCTCTCACGTCATGGGCCCAGAGGGCAGAGCCTTCAGCCACAGAGGATTATTCCCAGGCCTTGAAACCTGGTGGAATTTTCACTGATGGGTTTTAAAATTTTACAATTCTTCTTTCTTCTTTCCATTTTCTCCCTTGAGGAATGGGGATGTCTATAACTGCCTGCCCCACCATTGTATTTTGGAAGTAAATAACTTGTTTTCTAATTTCCCAGGTTCCCAGATGGAGAGGAATTTTGCTCTAGGATGGATCATACAGAGTCTCACCCATACTTGATGTAGATGATTTAAATGGTGAAATTTGGGACTTTTGACTGGGTGATATTTAGATGAGATTTTGGATTTGAGTTGATGCTTTCATGGGTTGAAATTTGGGGGAGTGTTGGAGTGGGGTGACTTTATTATACATGTGAGACAGATGTGAATCTTTGGGGGCCAGAAGGCAAATAACAGGAGGCTGAAAAATGCCCCCCCCACCAAAAAAGATATCCATGTCCTAATCCCCAGAACCTATGAATGTTATCCTATATGGGGAAAAAAAAAAAGTCTTTGCAGATGTGATGAGGTTAAGAATGTGAGATGGTGAGATTATCCTGAGTTATCCAGAAGGGTCCTAAATGCAATCACATGTATCCTTATAAAAGGAGGGCAGAGTGAAATTTTTCACACACAGAGAAGGTAATGTGGAGACAGACTCGGCCCTAAGCTAAGAAATGCTGGCGGCCTCTAGAAGCTGGAAGAGGCAGGAATAGATTCTCCCCAGAGCCTGTGGAGAGAGAACAGCCATACAAACACCCTCACTGTAGCTCAGGGATACAGACTGCAGTCTTCTGGCATCCAGAACTGGGAGAAAATAAGTATCTGTTGTTTTAAACCAGCAAATTTATTGGGCATTTGTTACAAAAGCATCCCACTTCCAGGTACCGGAATCTTTATTCGCTTCTTGTGGCTGCTAGGGTTATTGGAAAAATTAAATAATTGCATACATAGAAAGCCCTTAGAACAGTGCTTTAAAACAGTTGTCC